TGTGCTGTTTGAGAATGGCGAACATCTTGGCTAGGTTGGACAAATGGTCTGCCTCATGCCTGTTTTTGACCACCATGTCATCGATGTAAGCCTCCATCGTCCGGCCTAGTAGAGGGGCGAACATTTTGGTCACCATCCTTTGGAAAGTTGTCCCGGCGTTCTTCAAACCAAAAGGCATTACTCGATAGCAGAAGAGTCCCCTTGGAGTGGTGAAAGAGGTTATCTCATAGTCGGGGCCATGCATGGCAATCTGACGATAACCGCGGTAGGCATCCAAGAAACTGAGCCTTTCATGTCCGGCCGTTAAATCCACCAGCTGGTTTATTCTGGGCAGAGAAAAGTTGTCTTTAGGGCAAGCTCGGTTGACGGTCTTGTAGTCGACGTAAACTCGCCACTTCCTATTCTTCTTGGGTACTACGACCGTGTTTGAAATCCACCGAGGGTAATGCACTTCCTGAATAACCTGTGCTTCAAGCAAGTTCCTTACCTCCTCCGCGATTACCTCGGCTTGATGAAGAGCCGATCTCCTTGTTCTCTGAATGACAGGCCGTGCATCGGGGAAAACATTGAGTTGGTGGTAAATAAAACTTGGATCGATGCCAGGCATGTCGTAGGGCGACCATGCGAAGACTTCGATATTTGCCATCAAGAACTCTACCATCTCGGTCCTTTCTTGAGCTGTCAGGCTTGATCCGAGCAAAAAGAACTTGTTTGGACTTTCCGTGTCGATCCGTACTTCTACCAATTCTTCAACAGCTTTGTCCTTGGCCCTGGTGTCCACGTCATCAAGGACACTCTGGTCTTCCGGGCCTTCAATCATTTGCATGAAGCCTTTGACAGCTCGGTTCCCGTTTACTGCCACGAAACATTGCTTCGACATGACTTGATCGCCCCAAATTTCCTCAATTTCCCCTATAGCCGAGGGAAATCTCATAACCTGGTAGTAGGTCGACGCTACAGCCTGCATAGCGTGAAGCCAGCCCCTACCTAGGATCAGATTGTATGTAGACGGCACCTGCAATACCCAGAACTCCACCTGCTTGACCACGGATCCGGTTTTGACCGGTAAAATTATTTTTCGCAAAGGCCACTCTGGTTACGAGTTGAAACCTACCAGTGGCGAAGTTGCCAGAGCTAAGTCTGTGTCTCAGAGTTTGAGTTGTTTGAACGCGGCGTAGTACATAATTTCAACCGAGCTTTCCTGGTCAATCAAGATGCGCTTGACATCGAACTCTTTGACGTGGAGGGTGACCACTAGGGCGTCATTATGTGGCGTTTGAATGCGCTCTAGGTCCCTTGTGGAGAAACTAATCACGTCTTTTTCCTCGGTCTTCCCCCTTTTGATCGCGGGCTGGACTGACAAAACTTTCCTCATGTGTTCTGCCTTTTTTATCATTCCTCGGAGCTCGCATACACGTGCCGGCTCCACTATGCCATGGATCACATTAACCACTACTTGAGGGGGCACCTCAAAGTCTTCCGGTCCATGCGGATCAGTCGGGGTGGGATGTGCGGCCTTAACACCCCCATTAATGTAAAGATCTAAGTGTCCGGCTGCGACTAATTCCTCCAAGTGTTGCTTCAGAGGCAAACAGTCCTCTGTCTGGTGTCCTCGCTCCCGGTGAAATGTGCAGCAGTACTGCGGATTGAAGCCCTTTTGCGCGCCGCCTAACTTATAAGGAAACCAAACGTAATCCTCATCACGAATTTCACTAAGTATGCGATAGATTGGAATCTTAAAGACTGTGGTGATGCCCGTCTGAGCTTTCAACCTTCTGTTAGCATCAGCTACGTCATCGTGGGGGTATTCAACTCGGTCATTCTAACGACCCCTTCCCTGATTTCGATGATTTGACCCACGGTCAGATTCCTCGACACGATCATTTGGACAGTTAGTCTCCTGTCAGTCCGCTTGTACCTTGCCAGCCGACCTCTTGTCTGTTACAACCAGTGTCATATTCACGGTAGACGCTGCTGCATTATCCTCTACTCGAATGTGCTCATTGATGTGCTGCATTAGTTGGCCCATGGAGGTCGGCTGGTTCATGGTAAGCGAGTCCCGCAGCCTATGTCCGATCAGGAGACCGCGCTTATATTGGGTGATTGCGAGGTTGATCGGGCAATCTAAAATCTCATTAAAGGTTTCCCAATATCTGGAGTTGTATGCCTTGAGCGTGTCGCTCGACTCCATTTTGACACTGAGAAGGTGGTCCACCTCCTTTGGCGTTTTAGTGTTGGTTTTGAAATGAGTCACAAAGGCTTCCGCCAACTGCTGCCACCTTTTGATGCTTCTCTCCGGCAGCCTCTCAAACCACTTCAAGCCCAACTCTCCCAAACTCGACGGGAAGATAAGGCACATAAGAGCATCATTGCATCTATGTCCGGCCATGACCTGCCGGAAGTGGTTTACACGCATGTATGGTCGGTCTTTCCGTCGTAGAGCGTAAACTTGGGCTGGTGAAAACCCGCGGGGAGCGGTGTGGTTTCTATCTCAAGGGAGAAGGGGGTAGCGTTCAGCCTCGCTAAATCTGTGTCTAGAAGGAGAGGCACGGCTGGGTGGGGTGGTGGCATTATGACCTCTTCACTGGCGTGACCCCCGTAAGATAGCCGTTGAAGCGCCGGCACCCCTTGAGTCTCTCGCCGGCGAGCCCGCTCCTTCAAGACTGCCCGCAAGTCCTCTGAGCGAGCGAAGTAGGAATATCTCGACGTCATCGCCGGACGTGAGGGTTGATAGGTACTATTTTATGTGCTAGACTTCTCTACAGGCACGTCAGAATCTCCAACCCTGTAACTTCTGGTGATAGAAAGGGAAGGAGTGTGCCGCTGGCTCTGACTGCCTGAACGACGTGGTTGGGTGCGATCACTATGGTCTCCCACTCCAGCAACACCCTTCCCTTTGACATGCCATTTGAGAGCTTCCATCTCCGCCGCCATTCTCCGGATGACAGCATCTTTGTCCCTTAACTTGTGCTCCAGACGTCTAGCGTGCGATTCTCTTCGCTGTCGGTGTCCGTCCGGGCTCCGCGAGTGACCAAAACTTCTAGCGCGTTTATCACACGCGTCTCTTGAATGTCCTCTTGGGGAAGTCTCCAGGTCCGCCGTGTTTGGAACGGCGGGGAGTCCGTCTCTCCGTCTGGCTGACTCCGGGGTAACACCGTCGATGGCGGACAATGGTATTTTGTCGTTGTTCGCCATGGAAGGCGATCAGATGAGCTTGGAAGACAAGGTTTTGTCTATCAAGTTTCCTATAGACGGCGCCAAATGAAGCAACCGCTCCCCGCCTTGCACAAATTGTCTGCTTTGGCAAAATCCGCCGCATGATTTTGCTCTTCCCCCACTAGGGAAAAAGGCCTATACAAGGTAAGAGGAGCCAGTCTGCTTATAAGGTGAGAAAGTTATCCCTCACAGACCGATGTGGGATACCCCGCACATTAGCTCCCAGCCACGCTGGCTCCGACACCACCGGCGCAATACCTTTAGATGCCGAAGGGAGTTCCCACAGACGGTGCCAAATGAAGCAACCACTCCCCGTTCCTTGCACATATTGTCCGCTTTGGCGAAACCCGCCGCATGGTTTTGTTCCTCCCCCACTAGGGAAAAGGCCTTATGCTAGGTAGAGGAGGCAATCAGCTTATAAAATGGGAAAGTAGTCACTTACAGACCGATGTGGGATTTCCCCACATTAGCCCCCAGCTGACTGGCTCCGACACGGGATTTTTCCATCACGCGTGTCGGAGGGAGTTCCCATAGACGACACCAATTGTACAGAGAGCAAATATTCGTCGCTGTCCGTACTCCTTTCGTCCAAGCTCCGTGTCTATCCAATCAACCTGAAAGCACAACGGCGGTGAGCTACCCGGCGGTATGTTGCCAGAAACCCCTCCGACAGTCAAGTTAGCACACACTCAGAGAGAGAGAGAGAAACTCAATGAATGTAAGTCTATCTCACCAAATGATGTTCCATCCCTAGCAAGGGGGGCGCAGTCATGCTTATATACTTTCTGCGCTCAACTCTGCACCCATTGGTCTCTTGACACGTGGAGCTGCTCTCTCATCTGTCAGCACAAATCCAGCGAACACCACCTAACCAAACCGCCAGACAACATTACCGAGAACTCGGTAGCCCGGTGGCATCACCTCGGCTTCAGATCTAAGCCCAAGGGTGTTTTATTCTTGCAGGGACCCAAAGGTCGAGCAAGAATTTTTTGTTTTAATTTAAAAATCTAACAAAATAAACTAATAATTAAAGTCCTTATGGCCCATCTTAATTACAAGAATATAAATATGAAGAAAAAATATCAATTAGTCTTGGTTGACATTTTGCTTTGCACCTTGAAGTGTCTACACCTACCATTGCCACCATTGCTACCACAACTACTACCACCCCCAGCTCTAAACACCACTTCTGTCACAACCACTGTCATCTCATTTTCAAGCTCGCAAAAAATTAATAACATTCTGTGTGGAAGTCATATTTTGGGAAAATATTTTTCTACAAAGCAAATCGAGTTTGAGTTTGTCAATGAAAACCCTTGTTCAGTGGGCAGACTTTTGCAAAGCATTACTTGTGGAAGCAAGGTGGTACAACAAGAGTTACACACCAACCCTAGACGAGTATCTTGAAAATGGGTTGGTTTCATCATCTGGACCTGTTCTTTCTCTGCTTGCATTTTTCTCTGTTATGGAAGAGACAACAAGAGAAGAGCTTGTAGATCTTTTGGCAAAGAGTGATGTTCTTGTGCATTGTACGTCAATGATCATTCGACTTTGCAATGACCTTGGAACTTCTGCGGTAATTTATTCTCTTCATTAAAATCTACTCGGAAACTATTTTAATGCAAAAATGAAAATGATATTTGAATTTTTCATTCTTTTGTTTTCGAAAAAACAAGAAAAATAAAAATAGAACCAAACAAGCCCCATGGAACTGTTTGGTTACAATTTTGTTTGTTTTGTTTTGTTCTGTTTATTTATTGATTTTTTGGTGTATTTGTTTTCAATTTTTTATGAGCACAAACTTGTTCAATATATTGTTTCTGAAGGAAAAAAAAAATAATTGAAAACAATCGAGTTTCAAGAAACACGTTTCTTTGAAATTCAAAATTTTTTTTGCAACAAAAAATTGAACTTGGTGGGTATTTTCAAACTTTTAATTGTTTTCTTTATGAAAATACAAAGAATTAAAAAAAAAAATCATATTTAAGTACAACCCATATCAACATGGTAAATTGAATTTTAATTTCTTGCCCAAAACACAAATTTCGGGCTCTGAGTGAAATTGTTTCTTTTATAAGGAACTCACCATCTAATACATATGATCACCTATGTTTCTACGTGGTTAATCACATGATCACTATCTAATACAAAACATTTTTAGATTTTTATTCTTTTCCTGCACTTTTTCACCTCTTTCACCATAAATAAACTCCGTTTTTTTAGGATATTAGTGCCATGCCTTTGAACATTATCGATTTAACTGCAGGCCGAACTAGAGAGAGGAGATGCTCCATCATCAATCCTTTGTTTCATGAGAGAAGCCAATGTCTCAGAGGAGATGGCCAGGAAGAAGATTAGAACCACGATAAAGGATACATGGAACAAAATTAACCATGAATTCATCACCCAATCTCCTTTTTTGCAACCATTTGTCAAATACACTGTCAACACAGCTAGAGTGGCTCATTTTATTTACCAACATGGAGATGGCACTGCTGGAAAAATGACTTTTAGCGGCGTTTTAAAAACGCCACTATATGTATGAAAAACGCCGCTAATTACTTTAGTGACGCTTATCACCAAACGTCGAGGACGCGGCCGTCGCTATAAGTTTATGACGCTTTAAAAACGTCGTAAAATTAGTATAGGTTTTAAAAACGCCGCTAAATGCGATAAATAATGATAAAATGACGTCATCCAATATTTAGCGACGTTTTTAAAACGCCGTGATAGATTTTTTTATTTTAAAAAAATGTCCGTTGGCACTGTAGTGGCGTTTTGAAAAAACGCCGTTATAGCTCTTTTTTAAAAAAAAAAATTGTTCTGAATCTGTTATATTTAACTAAAAAACATACCTTTAATAAAGCTGAAAAATAACCATAATATGAATAAAATTTTACAGCTACTTCAATATATTGACTAAATAAACATTACATGATTGTGTCTGAACCAAAATCAAACAACAAACACAATCAAAAAATAAAAAGAAAAAATAGGTTAAGTCATTTGCTTGCACATGTAGATGCAATGGAATAGTCAAGCATATTACACATCATTACACTGCAGAATAGGGATTCGTATTCAATTGAAATGCTAGCTAACAGTTTACTAACCAGCACTAACATCTCACTAGATTTTTTCTATTACTGCTCAACTATCTACTAGAGTCAGATTTTGACATACTAGTGCATGTCAGTGCTCGATTTTACAAGCCATGTCATTAGTGATAATCTCCAATATTGGATGGGATAGATCCAGAAATATTGTTATTCCTCAGAATTCTGCAAGACATAAACCACATGGTTATATTAGTTTTGTACAAGAGCAATTAAGGAGCATGAAAATGAAAAATTAAAACAGAATAGATTTGCCAGCAATAACCATATCGCCTTACAAGAGATTCAAAGACTTCATATCCTTAAGAAACGCCAATGAAGAACTTCCATTAGATAAATCACTTATCCTTCTAGATGAGCATGGGTATGTTATAAAAGAGAAGACTAGCTTTATTGATATGCTAATATGAACAAAAGCTGACTATTTTGCCCCCAATTTACAAAAACAACAAAGCTGACTATTATTTTTTCAATGCACAAAGCTGACTTTTATGTAATGAGAGCTTTTAAATAATTTCATAGATTTAATCTCAACCAATTAAAGCAAAACAAACACGAGCATGTAACTATTTCCCATAGTAAACAAACAAATGCAATTAATCTCACATTTCCAACCTAATACCACCATATTAGTAATCCCATCACTCAATCCCACCGAATTCATAATCATAGTGAACCTAATCCAGATATCAAACACAGCCAAAACATTATCGATCAATGTATCAGAAATGTAGGACTGTGCCCCAGGAAAAGTGGGACGAAAGTTGAACTGCATTAAGGCATTGGATTCAAGGCAGATGACAACATTGGTTCACTTTTTATTTAAAATTTCAGGGGGGAAAAAAATTCCAAGAGTCAGAGCCATATGTAATTACATTAATTTCACCCTTCTGTCTTCTATATTTTAATATTTATTTTCACTTTTGAAGACCTAAGACTAAATGGTGACATCTAGTGAGAAAATAATACTGATGACAAAAGTTAACAACAAGAATTGACTTCAGAAAAAAGGAAGGAAAAAGAAAAAAATAATAATCAGTGATTGGAAAAATAAATACATTATTCTGGTTCCACTTACCCAATTGACACCAATTCATTCAATCTCTGAAGATCCACAGGTTTTGATGATGTATCGATCCCCGGGTGGATGGGTCGGACCGGCCCAGGTTCTCCAGACTCCGGCTCAAGAAGGCTGGCTCCGTCAGATGACCTGCAAGCAAGTTCAGGGGGGGAACGGGGTAGTCCCCCGGTGAACCCTCCGGTGCAAGAATTAGAAGAGCAGAGTATGAAAAGACTGTATATCGAGAGATCAAGAGAGAGAGAACAACTTTACCTTCTTTTTTTCCTCTTATCCTTGCTTATATCCTTTTGTCATCATTTTTCCTGTCTCTTGTGACGTGCTTTTTCCGCCGAAAGCCTGTGCCATAGCTCATCTTGTTTAGGGTGATGGAGGCTCTGTTCCGGCGGGGAGTGCTGTTGTAATAAATGCTGTGATGGGTTGCATTAATGGTGATGTGTTGTGATAATAACTCTGCAGATCTTTGTCTGCTGATGTGGCCCGTGTCCCACCTGCCGTGTGCCTAGATGTCGTTGGCCCTTCATGTCTAGGTGGCCTCCAGCTGTTCTGGGCCTTGTCACCCAAGCAACCGGGTTGTGCCATTGGCCCCAAGCACTGGGTTCGGGGTGGTTTACCGTGGGCCGTGTGCCTTGTGGGCCTATCCATGTCAGGTTTCTTGAGGGGTGTCATTCCACTTTAGACCAACGAAGGGAATAGTGAGAATGGAGAGAAGTGTGAAACGGGTGGAGAGGCCGACTGGAAGGTGTGCCGACTGCGAGGAGAGCCGAGCGGGAGGTGTCGACCGTGAGGCGGGCCGATCACGAGGGTGGCCGAGCGGGAGGGGTCGACCGTGAGGCGGGGCGACCACGGGGGTGACCGAGCGGGAGAGGTCGGCCGTGAGACGTGCCGATCATGAGGGTAGCCGAGCGGGAGGGGTCGGCCGTGAGGTGGGCCGATCTGGGGGGCGTGGGG